AAAAAGTCTCATCGCCAGAGACATGGCGTACTTGGTATTTTTGGCACCATAGATGGACATCTACCGAAACATGGAAAATCCTCACATGGCGCAACGGCACTGTAAGGTTAATTTAAAGGGTCCTGAAAGCTTTGGCACCTGGTTGTGAAGCTGTATGTGGCAAGGTATTTCAACGTACTCTGACAAAGGGCAGGTCATTGTTCTCGTAATAGGATTTATTGAAATACAATGCTGCCAGATGGCCTCACGACCTTTTGGCATCGCCTTTCCAGATTTGTGATACATAGGCAAGCCATGAAAAGTAATAAATCAAGTTTCTCATGATCTGAGCAGGCGCGCAGCCTAAAAGTAATCTTAAGAGAGAGCCGGATGCCTTCGACGGTCCTGTCTCATGAGACTGAGCTTCCTGTGACGACCCCTTTTTACCGTCCGCTGCTGCCCATGCTCGCATGGATCCCGGAGAAGCCTGCATGTGATTTTTGTGCTCTAAAGTTAAAGAGGCGCAGTGGGGTGGTCATTGGGAGCTTTGAAGGGGCTTTAGAGCCATTCCCCGCTTCTGGAGATCGCGAGTGCCTCCCCGCTAATTCTACCAGTTTAAGACACCCGTAGGGTTTCTTAAGCATAAAAACGGCCCCTGAGCCATCAAAACAGGATCCCAAGCCGAGCAACGTATCTCTAATTATAAAATTATAGCCCTATTTCTATTATGTATTTGCTCCACTGGAGATCGTCTTAATACCTGAATCTTAAGCGAGGGCTGCTCGGATTTCAAGACTCTCAGAAAAAGACACTTACCAAAACGAAAAACAACGGCAAAAAGGAGCCCTTTGACTGGAAGGACCCACATGGCTCGATTGGTGCCGTCCTGGACAAAGCCTGAATACGCCACTAAAGAAGCGTGGCCCCTCGGGCCCGAGACGGTCTTCATTGAAGTTCAAAACTCTGCGAGGGGCCGTGTTTTGCAGGCCAAAAATTTCGCAAGCAGGGCCTCTTTGGACCCATGTGAGGCCTCTTTTGGATTAAAGAATTTCAGGAGGACCCCGCATTTTGCCCACCTTCTTCCCAAAGCTGGGGGACGGCAACCCATGTTGGGAGGAGAGGGGGGGGGGGGGGGCTTCAGTCTCCCGCCAACTGAATAGAAAGCTACACCCCTGTTTAAAATAATATCACGGCAGCAAATGTGAAACAAGGGTGGCTTAAACGGTGTTGCATTCTTGCTTTTAAAGACAGTTCTTATTTCTAAAATCTAGAATTGACGAACATCTACAACGATCAGAATACTCAAAACGAATATATCTGAAAGAACACCTGTACATGGAATGTGAAGAGAAATACATCTGAAAAACGTCTGAATCTAGGATTTTTGGAAGGTATTAAAAAGAATGTATGGGAGCAGCATTCACAATTTTTCATATGCAACACCAGCCCCTGACTTTTTGAATGCGCTGAAGGCGAGCAGTCATCAGGATGGCGCCCAAGTCCCCATAATGTCACCGTAAGACGCATGGTGTGAATCGCCGCTCTGGCGCTCTTATTGAACCTAAGACGTTCCTGGGAATGAAAACTTCCAAGTTCTGACACAATTTTACAGTTGAAATACTAATCAGCACTGTGCTAACACGTTGTCAGTTTTCGCTTTTTTATCCTGAAAATTCACGGGGTTCATGCGCTGTTTTAGTTGCATTCATTTAATCCGATATCTTGCATTCGAACGTTTTCCGCATACGGCGCCAAATGTAGCTTTCTGGAGGCTCTGTTAGTGGAAAATCAGCATGACGCAGTATAACAGCGCCTTGGCCCACCTCAATGACAACGTACGGAGACGAGAAGAACACGCTGTCGTGGCGACCAGACTGGAGGTATTTGTTTGATAAAATGAAAATATACATTTCTGACCCATTCTCATCATAAAGTGAGCTCAACTGCCATGGACTGATATGCTGTGAATCTCCTCTTCCACTTACCGAAGAATTCGTGGTTGTCCGCACGCTTTTGTATCGAAACCTGGAAGTGAAGATTCTTTGTGAGAGCAGGTGATCTTTGTATAATCCCCATGGATCTTAACGGAAAACTAGGGCCTCGAGAGTGAAAAATGTGCTATACGAATACAAAATCATATTAATGTGTCATAATAGTTCGGAGAATCCAGAATGACGGTAGTTTGGGATTCATTATGCCAGCTAATGCCGAGGATTTTCCACACCCGAAGCACAAAAAAAAATGTTCTTAATCCTAACATTCTGGGAGCATATGGCGCAAAGTACAAGGTGAGCGCCAAAAATTCCTCTTCCATCTTATCAGCCAGGTGTACGCGATAAAAGCAAGAGGCGTGTGTTAAAGTTGTGCTGTTGAACATGATTAACGGCACTTGTTAGCATACAAAACAGTTAAAGACAATAATTTCACAGGGTGTGTTGACCTGCAAGTGAACTTACTTTGACAAAGTTTGAGGTTCCTAGGTCAAGACCTTTGGGTCAAATAAGATCAAATACTTAAGATAAGGTCAAGCTCCAAATTGGTGTCAAAGTGACTCAAAACCTAGATAGGTATTCTAAGGAAAAGGTCACTGGTGCTCAGTTAAGGTAAGTGACCTTGTTTGACCTTTCACAAGTCATGGCGATCAAAATCATACAAGAACGCTTTGATTTTTGCACTTCAGTGAACGTCAAATATTACGCTAGACAGTATGATCCTAAAACGAAATGATCACCTGGGTTGTGTTAGGTCAGTGACCTATTCAGACCTTTAAGAAGCCCGTGGAAGGCTGAAATGCGATTCCTGTTATCCATGCTCACTTTTCAGCCTGAAATGTGTCATTTTGTAATTTAATAAGGGTCCTAATTGGGCTTACCAAAGGCCTTTTCCAGACGTGAGAGAGCCCTTTCTATGTTCACGATAAACTCCACCCAGGCCTGACACGGACGTTTCTGAGCTTATGAAGGGCATTCCCTGTTCAGAAACGGGTTTTTGAGCCCACATTGGGCCTTTTCAGTCTGATCGGAAAGCTCTAGACATCACAATATTTCTATTGAGTAAATATGCTCCTCAATACGCTAGCGTTTGATTCCGTTAACGTACTTTGCACACAATTGATAGAGAGGCAATTGACAGTTATATCTGGACAGAGAGTCAGTTATACCTGGAGATCGTGCCCACGACCGTCGCGTATGAACGAATCGACGATTACATTGTTCTTGGCCCTGGTCGCTTCATAGCTATCGGAATTGCAGAATCTGAATGGTGTTGTTACGGCGTTATGGCCGCCTGGGTGACCTTGAAATACTCTTCCCCGAAATAGCCCGCAAGTCCTCGCTTGATTTTAGCTCAGAAAATGGACCGGTTTAAGCCTTAAGGAGGGCAGGGCTGTAAGCTGCACCAAGTGATCTTCAAGATTACTATTTCAGTTCGAAACCACAGACAAATGTGGAGCACTCCCTTCAAGATGGGCTCTCTATACCTTCCGTGATTACACATAATAGCCAAATCTCTTTCACAAATCCGACCACCTATTTAGGCCACCTGAAATCTGGGGCAAAATATTGTGTTGGCCTTTACCTCATGCATCGAGGGCAGTTTGCCCAGCGGATGCCACCACTGGCTTTCTGATCCTACAATGAGTCCATTCCGGACCAGAGCTGGGCCCTTTCCAGATCCCAACAATGAGATAAGTCTTTTGAAATTAAGTTCCCCATTTATCAGCCTTGCTGGGTCCCTACCTGACTTGGGACGAGTCGTTTCTAAATTTATGATGTATCCTTTTCAGACCTGAGAGCCCCTCTCAGGCGTGCTTAAACGCCTGAGAGGGCGTGCCTGAGAGGGGGTCCTCTCAGACCTGAGAGGACCCCTCTCAGGCTGAGAGGGGCCCTCTCTCAGCCTGCGGTGGGCGTTTTTCATGACCTGAGACGGACCCTTTTTGACCTTACGAGAGCCTTTTCTAGACCAGAGAGGGCCCCTACCACGTCAGAAGTGACATGAATATTTTCTGGCCTCGAAATATAACGTTTCCAGCCTAAGATTGGCCCTTCGCGGACTCGAAACGATTCCCTTCTGGGTTCAAGATAGCCCTTCGGGCCCAGACATGGGTCCTTCAAGTTTGGTTTGGGGATACAGTAAGCCAGTACTATCACATACTCGTGGACTCCGTCTAGACCACCTGAAATGATGGGGGGGGGGGCAAAAGTTAGTTTTGCCACACCTCAAAAGATCGGGGACACTTCTATCACGCTGCCAGCTCCCCCCCCCCTCCCCATGATTCGCCGCCCCTGCAATGCGACGAGCTCGCTCTATTTTATTCAATTT